TAAATTTGAACAGCGCTACTGCTAAAATTGCCAAAATAAACTTGGATTTTTGAATTCATGTTTTATAAAGTTTCGTTTTTAGCTTCGGTTGAAGGACGAGAGCGACTGATATTATTAATTCAAATTGTTTGTATAAATCTTGTATTCGAAATTGGTATCGACTTTTGAGAGCGTAATTTGCGAACCTTTTTATTTCGAGACGTACATAAATTACGACTTTATGGCATTTGGAATAGTAACTTCTATCCAAATGTACATAAATCCAAAGAGGTTATTGAAAATGTATAAAAAAAGGAAGCTTCATCTTCTATACAAAATGAACGTCTGGTTTAATAAAAAGTCAATATTCTTATTTACTTTCTGAAAACTTTAGTCCTTTATCAATGTTAACATCTGCTTGATACTAGAATAAAATTTCAATACTGCTTTTGTCGATTTTCCATTAGTACCTTATTTATTGTGTGGTCTAACTGGGTTGAGACATGACTTCGAAAATCAGTGTATCAGTGTGAAACTACTTTTATTGTAATAATAATAAGCCTATCGTTAAGAAAAAAATAAATTTTCCGTCAGTTTCAAAAATGACATTGAATATCGATAGCGGTACCCCAGAATTTAGGACGAAAGATATCTAGACAAACTTGTAACTAACTAACTAAAAGAAAAAGGAACTAGGAATGCAATTTATGTTCTGTTCAAATATTACCAGATTTAATAAAGGAACGTGGACCTTTCTTCTTGTTATGGTTTTGAAATATTTCATTGATACTGAAACAGCAATTTAACTGCTTGGATTTATTAATCTGCTTTGGAATAAGTTTTTTTGTGTGTCTTTCGCGATTTTGTCTAGACGGTTTGACCAGACGAGGTCAAGTCTTATGCCTTTTACAAAGAAGGTATGGTACACGCGGTTTAACATAGCACAAAACCAATAAAAGTGGAATTATCGTTTAGTGCCGATAAAGGAATTATCAGAATCCCCCAACAGTGATCAATGGACTGTTTATTTCAGTTAGATAATCTGTGGAATATTACTGTCTCAAGAATTTGCTTAAGTGATCCAACGAAACCATAGAAAGATTTGGACTAGGGCAGACGGACCGGAATCGAATGCTAAGCAATTGTCTAAACCTCTAAGCTAACAGTCAGCAACTGGAGGACTGAGGTCCAGGTTCGGATTGTGGGAGATTCAAAACTGGAACGGTAAAAATTTTTAACAAATAAGTTGTTTAAATTTTTTTTCTTCTGTAAATTATAAAGCGTTTATGTTTGAGCTTTATCATTATTTGGAAGTGATTATATTTTTCTGGACCTCGATAAAAAATTTTAAAAACATCTGAACCCCACCTAAAATTACTTGCTGACCCCTGCTCTAGGTCATGCTGCTAGATTAGGTTAAGTTAGGGTAGAATAAGTTATTTAATTTTTTTTCTGTAGATTGCAAAGCATTTATGTTTGAGCTTTGAGCGTCACCTTCATCATTTGTTGGAAGAAAGAATACATTTTTTCACCTAAAATTACCTGTTGACCACGATCATGCTACTAGGTTACTGAACAATAAAATTAGTGAACTTAGATAACCATAATTATTTATTGATTATCTACCTGCTCGGTTAGAAGGGGCTCTGTGGGAATTTAAAAGCTAAAAGCGTTAAAGAAAGCCTCCTTCAAAGGTTGCTTTAGATGTTTTACTTTTTAGCACGTTAATGCTCGATAATAGTACTTTCGTTTTGTTGTCAAGGAATCACGATTTTTTTTCCTTCTGGTTTTACTACTACCTAAAAGGTCTTTACAAAATCTCCAATTACGTGATGGCACATGTCGATTTTGATTTCTTTTACCCGTTCGTATTACTTGTAGAAGCATCAGATTGTCGTCTTTAGGACTACGCTTTGTTGCTCACATACTCTTCCCCTTATGTCCTTTATTTTCCTCGTCGAATTATAGACCCGCAAAAAAAACTTTGCAAAGGCTTTTACAAAATTTAGGTCTAAAATTCTAAGCTTTTTATTGTCGTTAATATTCTTTTAATAGAAGTAAAACAAAAATACTGGTATGTAAGAGAAGATAAAGTAGGGAAAGAGCAAATGTGAAGATAGGAGACGAACGATTAGAAGAAGTGGCTGATTTTAGGTATTTAATAGGAAGTCAGGATGGAAAAAGTAGTGGAGATATAGGGTGCGAAAACATGGACGCGGCGGGGCGGAAAAGAATAATTTAGTTTTCGAAATGTGGTGTTACAAACGAATGATGAGCATACCGCAAATGGAGAATGTTAGAAATGAAGAGGTACTAGAAATAATAAAAGAATAGAGGACTCTATGGAAGTCAATAAGAAATAGGCGAGATCAGATGGTAGGACAGCTTCTCAGACTTGAAGGTCTAATCGGAGACATATTAGAAGCAGAAATAGGAGTTAAGAGGGGTAGAAGTAAACCTAGATTAGATTACTGTTCGCCAATGGTTAAGGATGTCCCGAGATAAAAATGTTCAGTCTCTCAGAGTCTCTGAAAGCGAAACTCGAGTCTCCATCTCTCATCGTGTCTCTCTGGTGTCGCTGAGAGAGACTGTTTAGCGTCTCTGAACGAGAGACTCGAGTCGCTCATAGAGAGATCCTCATTTCGTATCCAATCTCTGAACGAGAGACTCATACATATTTCAGAGATCCCAGTCTTTCTACGAGTGACTCGAATCTCTTAATTTTTCAGTTTTGTGAGAGACTCGAATCTTTGAATTAACAATTTTATCGTTCGAGTCTCCCATACAGAGACTGTGAATGATCCATAAAAACACCTAGACAATAACTGAGAGACTGCGAAAGACTGCGAGAGACGCTCTCAGAGACACTGAAGGATTCTGAAAGACTCTGAGAGACTGGAGACTGAAAATTTTTTCTAGGGCTGGGATTATCTAGTTTATGAAAATGCTGAGGATAGGAACTAGTGGAGGTGCGTGTCCAACCAGTCTTAGGGCTGACGACCTTATGATGATGGTTACTTTTTAGAAATAACTTTTAGGTCAGAGGGTATGAGCATATGATCTTATCAGTGTTACGTTTGAAAGTTGCACTTTAATTTGTACTTATCGTGTAAAGCGAGGGTAAGTTTTAATGGATGACTTGTGTGCAACCGACATAGGAGTGGTTCAGGCTACGGCGATTCGAACCATTTGTTAGAGAATAGTAATAAAATGAAGAGGTGGCGGGCTATCATGTAAGCAGTAATAAATTGTAAAAGTTGCACTGCAGTCAGAAATTATTCTTCGTTTTTCACAGTGGAACAAGTAGCGCGACGACCTGTACTCGAACGTGATAAACTTTTGCCCCAAAGAGAAAAATGTTTACCATCCTTTCGTTACTTCTTGCTCCATTTACGCCACGTTTGTGGTGGCTTAGCAGTGAAAAAGAATAATGTATCGCTTAAATACGCCTGTCTATCCTATTGGATTTTTTGTAGTTAGTAATTTATCATTGTGCCCAGTATCGATGTATAAATGAATACAAAACGGTTTCTGCCGGTGTTCAACAATAAATAACGACCTCTAAAGGTTGTCTTTTATAGGTATATAAACTTTTAAATTAATCCAATTTCCTAAAGTCGAAAAACAAAACAAATAAATTGCTGAATGCTTTATCCCTTTCTAACTTCTTGCACGCATTCAAAAATCTGGAAAATTTCTCATTCATAAGTTAAAAATACAGAAACAACTCAAATAGATTAGCAATTTCTCTTCTACAACTTTTATAAAATTTTCCGAGTTTTCTAAAAGAAATTAATTTTCTTAAAATGAAACGTCTTAGTGTCTAATTGGGTTAGTTTAAAATTATTTGGAAATAAGACTTTTCTCTAGTTGTTCCTTTTTTCATGTAATTATTATCCATTTCTTCTATTTTTACTATGTAATTGTTTATAGAACAAAGGGATTAAACAATAAATAGGGATCAATGTCATATAATTAAACACTAGACCACTACGGACTTGGGCGATAACTGAACTTTAGTTGTTGGTTATCGATAACAAAAAAATATCGATAAAACCATATTAATTATCGATGGTTCTCAATAATAATCGATATAACAGTAACAGTATTAGCAACTGAGTGTGTAACTTTAGTTTATTTTTAATTTTTATTACGGCGAAATATCGATTTTGAAAGTCAATAATGGACATTAGTTTCTATAATCAAATGTTCAGTTCGTTCACGGTATACGGCGGTCTAAGATAATAACTAAAACGCTGGTCACTATAGCGAGCCTACTCTAATAACATTTTAGCCCTCAGATGAATATTTGCCAGTATACGTTTTGTTTTTCTGCAATTTTATCTTTAAAAATTCACAGATGTCAAGACTGTTGATTGAAAACCTTTATAAACTTTATCTTCGTAATCTTTTTTATACGTATCAAAGGATATTTTGATTGAAAAGCTTCTTCGTAGGAAACCGTCTTTAGCAAGAAAAAAGAAATTTCCATAATCGTGTTGTTTTTAGGCAGACAACTTATCTCGCCTAATATTTTCGTAAATCCGTCTTGTCACCTGTCAGTTGAAATTCTCACGTACTTTGTCATGTTTAAAGAACAGTTTGGATAATGGATAAAAAGACACGATGTAGATGCATTTCGTACATAAATATAGTATTGAACACAAGTTGAAAATTTGCATGTAATTAGAGTATCAATTATTTAACTATAGAACTTTTGTATTTGAATATTATTGTTCAGTATGTGAGAGTGAATAAACAAATAACAAAAAAACAATAAACAATCTAAACTGATTACATGATGTGAAATTTTTAATAAAATAGAATTTGTTTCTACAATAGTTTGAATCATTTAAAGTACGATTTTTTTAACTTAAAGAAAATGCAAATATCTTAGAAACTGTAGCGTCTATCTGTTCATTTTCAATATTCGGTGTGCATAATTTCCGAAAACTGAAACGTTGAACAGGGCCGTACTTAATAAAAGATATGTGACAAGTCACTTCTCTGCTCGCGTATGGTTAATTTAGAAATTCGAAGTAGGTTGTTAAAAGTTTATATTTAGAGTACGGCGATGTGGAAAAGAAAAGGTTAGAAGCGTTCGAAATGTGGTGTTACAGGCGATTGATGAGGATATCGTCGATAGAGAAGGTTAGAAATGAGGAGATATTAGAAAGAACAGAACAGAGAACTGTATGGATGTCAACAAAAAATAGGCGAGATAGGTTGGTAGCAACGATACCTTCTCAGGCATGAAAGTCTAGTCAGAGACATATTAGAGGCATAAACGGAAGTTTAGAGGGGTAGAGGTAGACCTAGATTAGATTACTGTTCGCAAATGGTTAAGGATGTGGGTTGTTCCAGTTTTAAGGAAATGCGAAGGTCAGAGACATTTTAGAGACAGAAACGGAAGTTTAGAGGGATAAAGGTAGACCTAGATTAGATTACTGTTGGCAAATAGTTAAGGATCTGGGTTGTACTAGTTTTAGGGAAATGCGAAGATCAGAGACATATTAGAGGTAGAAACGGAAGTTTAGAGGGATAAAGGTAGACCTAGATTAGATTACTGTTGGCAAATAGTTAAGGACCTGGGTTGTTCTAGTTTTAGGGAAATGCGAAGATCAGAGATATATTAGAGGCAGAAACGGAAGTTTAGAGGGGTAGAGGTAGACCTAGATTAGATTACTGTTGGCAAATAGTTAAGGATGTGGGTTGTTCTAGTTTTAGGGAAATGCGAAGATTAGCTCAGGATAGGAAAGAGTGGATGTGGGTGTCCAAACAGTCTTAGAACTGACGACCTTACGATAAAGATGATGTTGACAATATAACAGAAATAATTGCAATGGTATTGCCATGTTATAAGAATGCATGAATGATTGAAAGGTGATTTATTAGAAAAGAAGAAGACCCAGACACAAGAAATCAAGAAGTTCAAAATGTAATGGAAGAGAGAAGCCTTACAGATTATGATTGACAAGATAGGAATTTCTGGAGATTGAGATGCAAGATGGTTCAGCGATGCAAAACCCTTACATAAAATATGTTTTTAGAATTAAAGACCTGAAAATTAAAGCCAGTCTTTTTTGATTTCGATCTTTAAAAGCTCATGATCATAACTTTTATTATGTTAAGTTTTGCAATCAGGCAAGAGTTTATTTTATTGATCTTACTATTATTTGTAAGAAAATGACACAATCTCAGTTTTCACTATTTGGAAGACCGTAGATGGATCATAAATTATTAATTTTGAATTACGTCTTTAACCTTTTATTCATGCCTTTCATGTAATATATGTTATGTACCTACCTATACACGAACGTGTCAATAGCGCTTACTAATACTTTTAGCAGCAACAGAGATATTAATCAATTTGACAGGTGGAAAATGTCCTTAATGTACATATATATATATACATTGTATATATATGTATATAGGTTTATCTTGTCACAATACGTTTTGCGAACTCGGTCATGATGGTTTGATGGTGATGGCCTATAATGTATACGTTTCTGGTCAAGCCTTTAAATTGCAAAACTATATTTAATACCTTAATAAATCAACTTCATCCACTCCTACACTATAACTAACACAAACTAATTGTTTTTAGTTAATGTGATGGTATACAGTTTTGTTCACGCTTAGCAATATCTTTCGTTTGAAATTACTATTACTGCGGTTCAACAAAAATTTTTTGCCTTGAATCAAATAGACACCACCCGTTGACCGTATCGATTTTGTTGTTGTCATTTATTCTTAAATAATCATCCACTCAAAATTGTTTGCAACGATCGAATCGAATATTGGTGAAAATATGGAATTGATGTTCCAGATAAAAACCATGGCAAAACGTTTATTTTAGGAGGCACATTGGATTAGGATGCGATTGGGTTAGGTAAGGTTATGTTAGTTTTTTTAGCAGAGAACGCATTGGGGATGTACCTGCTTTGCTTATTCCCAGGTTTAGTCGTTCGAGCTTTCGTAGTAATGTAATGTACAACCCTAAAACTAATAAATGCATACGGCCTATACCATTAGATATAAAGCAGAGAATAACGCAAGGTTGAGTCGCATTTAATAAAAAGTAATTTAGAAGTTCGAAAAAGATTGTTAAAGGTGTATGTTTGGAGCGCGGTGATGTACGGGTGCAAAACATACACAGTGGGCGCGGCGGAAAACAAAAGATTAGAAGCGTTCGAAGTGTGGTGTTACAGGCGAATGATGAGGATACCGTAGATAGAGCAGGTTAGAGCTGAGAAGACAATAAGGAATAGGCGAGATATGTTGGTAGGACACTTTATTATGCATGATGGTCTAGTCAAATAGTTTAGGATTTGAGTTGTTCTAGTCTTAGATGATGACCAGTAGAACTGGTCGAAATTCATGTCTGCAGTTTTCTGGTAATTTGAATGAGTCTTTTTTTAGTTAATTTATTCATTCACCACAGTCTTCATTTTCTACTATTAACGATTACCCAAATAAATGCAAAACTGATATGGAAAACAAAAATAACAAATATTAAACTGATGTTGTCCTAATTCGCCTCTAAGGCAGTCGTCGGTGGGAATTGCTTCCTAATATGTTTCGGTAGCACGACTCTACATCGAATATCAGAAATGGAAAGTCCTCTGAAGAAGTTTGCTACTTGTGCTAGCGAAATGTTAGGAAGGAACTCTAATCGATGACGGACTTTATAAGGTCCGAATTAGGACAGCATCAGTCCATCAACTGACAGCGAAAAACTTTACCAATTTGTAATAACAGATATTGTTTATAAATAATTAACAGTATCTACAACAACTTGTTTCATTATCAATATCTATTACAATTACGTAATAGTAAGTAATACTTGTAGTAATTAATTTTTAAATAAACTATAGAAAACCCAAAGTATCCTGAGGATAGTTTAAATTATTTTCTTTTTTTAAGTAAATTGCCTATCGAGCTGTTTGCATCCCATTACAGCCTTCAATAATTAATTGAGACTTAAATATAAAGAAATAAGTCAACAAGGATTATTTAATAAATTCAAACGTAGCCTACAAGAAAATTGATATTCAGCAAAAAATAATAAATATGAATAAGGGCAGTTCTCTACCAGGAAAAAACTCGAAATATTTAAGCCGAGGCGATGTCTAGTTTAGTTTTCGCAATAAATTTGAATATTTGATATTTGGGACACACTCACTGATTTATGCTTAATAAATTTAGTCCTCATTTTTATATTTTTAAAATACGATAAAAAAAAAGTTCATAAACAGGAAACATATAAAGTTAAAGCCTAAAATGGTCTAAATATTTAAATTATTTCCTTAGAGAGCAATAATCTTGCCTGTTTTCTTACTTCCTTGTAATTTTATTGATGTAGGTAAGTACATAATCAGTTAAGATGAAAGATTGTTTATAAAATATTGAATTACTGAACTACTGAATCAAAGGATATGCTTGAATATGAATAATTTTCGGTACTTCCTGTTGTTGTTGGTTCTCACTCCCAGGTTGGCAACTTGTTATCGGTAACAAGGAAATTAAACTTGTCTTTGCTATAGGAAATATTTATAACTAGTTATGACGACAGAAGCAACATCCAAGGTAGAGAATAATAAATCAAGTAAACGAGATGGTGCTAATTCTCCTGAGATAGGAAACTGTTCGTTTTTGAAAGTTCATAGCCTAAAATATTCACATAAATACTGTCACCCTTCACTTTAAAGTGCCCTAATGAAATTATTAACAGTGATACTTTGGCTGAAATTAATTATTATTTATACTGTTGTAACAACTCGGAACATTAATGCAGTGTTGTTTTATTTTCAAATTGGAGTAAATTCATATTTATACATCATTATTATAAGTATACATTTGTAAGCAAATTAAAAAAAAGGCTTATATTTTTTAAACAAATTAGCACAAATACTATCACCTTAGAAAAATAAATATTTAAAGGATAAAAAACTTCAATAAGGTCTGGAAGTTATAGAAACAAACTGTTTATTAAATATAATGCAAAATTTGAAGGGGTTATTCTCTGATTTACCCGGAGAAAAAGCTTTTATGGCAACGCAAAAATTATAATTTTTGATCGTAAATGACTGAATTTGCCGTAGAAATAGTAAAATTTGTTAGGTAACTTACAATAATCTCAATTTTTGCATGCTTTTTAAATAATTACTTCATGTTTCTTAATTGTTACAACTAAATTTGTAATATCAACTAAAATACCTAGTAAATTTATTTCTGCTGGAATTTTTTACAAATTGTAATTTGTATTATTCTCGCTTACGAACCAACGGGATAGTGGGATAAATTGTAAATATTACTTTAATATATCATTAAATATTCCTTTTTTTGATTATGTTTGGAATGTAGCTATGTTTCAAAGATATAGGGCGATAAAAGTAAAGCTTCTTAAATGGATTATTCACCAGGTAGGATGCATACATCCACTTTTCTGCTCAAAAACTGGCGAACTCTTTCCAAAAGAAACGGATCATTTCTTAATGGATTACACCCGACAATTATCCGATGTCTCAAATTTTCCACATTTTCCACTAGCCCAATTACCATAATCACAAAATGCATTTCTATGTTCTTATTTTGAACATTTTTTATATGCGATGAATTCAATGTAGGTACTGCTCGTTATAATTTAATTGCACCCACATTATCTAATCTTTTTGAAGATATCAAAATTTTTTTTCGTCGAAAAGCATATGTAGATATCTATCGTCCTATATCTCCTAAATAAAGCAGCTTTCCAAAAATCATTGTGAACAAAATATTCATAACAGGAAATTACCCCTTGAATTCTTATAAACACCCTGTATACATGAAGAAAGCATTTTGTTTTGTTGTTCTTGTTGAACTCTTAAGTATTTAACCCTCTACTATTGCCTCGTTCTCCCATGCACGAAGAAATTGTTTTTCTGTCTTATTTATCATGACATGCCTTAATAATTATTATCTCTCGCGTAAATGATGTAAATGTATTGTTTCCAAAACATTTGCAGAACACCAAGTGGCGTGATAATACGTTGCAGGCCACATGAGCACGTTGTATATTACGTATTAAACCCATCACGCGTAACAAGCACATAATTTGCAGCGTTATCTCGTATGTTGGCAATATGCCTGCCAAAATCGGATCAAAAGTGGTTACGGTTGAACATTCCGTTAAATGTAGTGTATCTGTCTTTGACAACATCTGGCACATTGGGACTGTCTGAGTGCCAAACTCCAACTTTAAACTGTGCGAAATTCCTTTTGCAAGCAAGTTCTCGAACAACTTTCTGCTAATTATTTCACCTACGGCTGTTTTCATCATGCTAATACGTGACACAAATTATTCAAGTTATTCTAATAAAATCGCTCTAGACGTCACTGGCATAGTTTTGGGTACTTGTACCTATAGGTATACTGACATAAATGAGAAACGGATATTTACTTTTATCGTTTGCTATTCTAAATAAAACTAAAACGAAAGTACTGGTATGCAAAGGAAGAAATAGTAGGGAAAGAGCAAATATAAAGGTAGGAGACGAAAGAATCCGACACTACCCAGTCGTACGGACGGCTGGGTGTCTTCTGAAGATTTCCCCTCTTCCACGAAAACATAAAAAAAAAGATTAGAAGAAGTGACTGATTTTAGGTATCGAGGAAGTCAGATAAGTCAGGATGGAAGGAGTAGTAGGGATATAAAGCAGAGGATAGCGCAGGGTCGTGTCGCCTTTAATAAAAATAAGTCACTTCTATGCACGCGAACGGTTAATTTAGAAATTCGAAAAAGGTTGTTAAAGATGTATGTTTGGAGCACGGCGTTGTACGAGTGCGAAACATGGACGGCGGGCGCGGGGGAAAAGGTTTGAAGTATCCGAAATGTGGAGTTACAGGCGAATGATGAGGATACAGTGGATAGGAAAGGATAGAGATGAAGAGGTATTAGAAAGAATGGGAGAACAGAGGACTCTATGGAATACAATAAAAAATAGATGAGATACGTTGGTAGGACACCTTCTCAAGCATGAAGATCTAGTCAGAGACATATTAGAATCAGAAACATGAGTTAAGAGGAGTAGAGGTAGACCTAGATTAGATTACTGTTCACAAATGGTTAAGGATGTGGGATGTTCTAGTTTTAAATTTAAATGGATTAAAGTTCAAACATCTCAGTTTTGAAGATTGAACTAACAAAAACGTTTTGGATATTAAACAATGTTTGAAATAAACTTTAAGTTTTAACGAGAAATATTTGTAAAAATGGAAAAAAGGTATCTGTCACGGAAACGCTTTTATTTGTACAATTTTTAAATAGTTTCGTGAAGAAAACCTTTTATTTTTAGGATCAGAATAAATGGTAAAAGATTAAAGAGTAAATTGAAAAACAATCATTAAGGAAATGTTTTAATGAGTGTATATTGATTAACATGAGAACAATGTACCTAAATTAGATAAGGAAATTAATAACATGAGACTTCACGTCCGAAAAACCAAAAATGAAAGCTGTCATGGAATCCTGATGAACCTTAATTATTATTTGTCCTCTTGAGAATTATTTATGAATCCGTTTGTACGATTTCCAATCACGTTATAGAATTTTGCAAAACATTTTTACAAACGTAATTGAACGGTGACTTTACCTTTGTAATTTACCTAATAACGTTGGCCCGCCTAGCTTTTGAATTCGTTATTTCGACAAATTAAAATTTTTTGTTAGGATCTCATCAAAAAGGAAAATAATGATTCTCGGTATTTTATATATATACTAAGTACGAGGAGTATGTAATTGTCTACATCATATTATTACTTACCTTGATGAATGCTTTAGTTTGAATGTCCAGGTATAATAATTAGATTACAAATAGCTGCTTTAAATTTTGCTACATTCAAAAGGTTTTAACGTATGCATCTACATGTAAAATTGGTGAACTTTACTTGCAAAGGATTAAAACTGTTCGGGTCTAGTTTGGATATTAATAACTTGGAATATGATACTTTAATTATTTATATGAGCAAGTGAAACCCACGTTTATTTCTAACTCTGAGCTCCACCAGGAATATTCTCATCACGTTATTGCTTTTCGTCGTCTGATGATGATAGTAGCGGGATTCAACCAGTAATATTCTAGTAAAAAGGATGATATTCTAGCATACTTTTGACCTTCTTACCTTGATGCCTCACATTAGAGAGTGTGTGTCTACCATATTAAAAACTTTGTGACACCATATTGAGCTTCATCAAATGTGAGGAGACCCAGAAACATGACGCTAATAAGGGGTAATTTTTCATAGTTTCAGAAAACAGAGTATGACGAATTATCGAAATAAATTAGAGAAATCTTTTTTAATTGAATTAAATTGAATAAAATAATAAAAATTTATTTTCTAAAGAACGAAGTATGTTCTTTAATATTACGTATAGCATTACGTTCAACTTCAGATGAACTTTTAGCAAAAGCAACACTAGTCGTTCTGATAGTAGATAAGACGATATTTTGACCATGTTCAAACATGGTCCTCAAGCTTAGACTGTTTTTAGGCTTCATAAATGCTAGGTCTACAACCGGGGCCTAAGTAATTTTGATTGATTATTACAAACTTAAAGAAACGTTTAAATTATACATAATCACATTGAATTAATGACTTAAATAAAGAAAGCTCTGAACTTCTTTCAGATAAATATTCCAGGATTTAATAGCAAAATGAAAGGCAACGTTTCACTTCACGGTTGAGAGCTTTATCAAGGATATTTGCTATGTATTGCTATTAAAACGTTGGTACTTCTCTTGCTAATAAATCTAGGAATATTTAACTGAAAAATGTTCAGAGCCTTCTTTATTTAACGAAATATTTTAAAAAAAAATTGAAGATTTGAAAAGAAAATATTTTTATTATTAACTTGGATTAAAATTTTCCTTCTAAAATTGGCTATACCGGTAATATTTATTTCTATAACAGTAGTTGTTATTATTCTTAAAAATTGGTAATTACTTACTAGTAAAAAAATACCACTCGCACCCTTAATGGTAATTGTTTCTAAAAGCCAGCCCCAGTCGAACGAATTTAGATCGTATAATCGAAACATAAAAAGCTAAAATGATTTCAATTTTTTTTTTCGGATAATGTCGACTAAGAAGTCATTTAATTTTCTGAATTAAACACAATAATTTTAAGAGAAGATTTTTAATTGTCTTTTTATAGAAAAATATACAAATTACATTGACTTCAAGAAGAACTGTTTTCCCCTCTAGCTGGCCCCCTTATAAACTAACACGTAAAAATTCATAAGTTATAGTACATAGTAATGATAATTATTATGAGTCATTTAGGCACTATAATTCACAGTTTAAAACTGAATTGATATGAACACACCACGGGCCGTTATCGACGTACATACGTATTTAATTTTAACCATTGTTTAACCGCATTATTATCTTCTTACTACTACCACCACTGGACTTCCCATTTTACAAACTGCTACTTAAAGCTGACAATTATCAATTTTTATGTCTTATTTGTGAGCGTTTTCATATAGTGATCTACCCAAAACGTATGTGCACATAAATGAGTCGATTATACATGCTGGTAGAGGTAGTTTAGAATCTTGTGGGTCATAACCTTTAATTGTGCGCAGCAAAACTCCGCCATCATCGTTCACTTAGTCAAGTCAGTTTTTTGGAGTATACAGTATGATTGTAACAAGATCCGCCCCTTATAAATTTCGCGGCCCAAGAGATTTTAAAATATCTACCCCTACTAAAGGCGCTGTATCGCAAATCCACGCAATATTTCTACGAATATCGCACGATATTTTATTGTTGCGTTTACATAAATCCACATAAGTTTATGTCTGTCTTCAGCCTTCACGCAACCGACTATAAATTCGTCCAATTCGTTTATACTGAGTAGCGTTAAGAGATGTCTTAAGAGGGTGCAGTATACATACGTTTGATACAGTGGATGTTGTCGAATTAGTCGAGCAAATGCTATGCGTAACATGTAATTAAGAAGAATGACTTTTTACTTTTTTAATAGACGAATTTGATAACAATGGTGGTTTACCACGTACTAACGGTGACAGCAACATCGACAATTTGTTTTAATTTAATTGTGAAGCGATATCGCCGTTTTTAAAAATATGATTTACCAATTACGACTTCCTATGTACGGTGTCGTGTAAAACCGCCCTTTTTTAAAGTTCGTCATGGGTCTCACGAGAGCGATATTTATGTAACGCCAAGTCAACGATTTCGTGATCGCGCAACTTCACAAATGGCTCTGTATTCCAGTTCCGGTGCCGTTTGGAAGATTGCACAGCTTCGCTTGTTTTTTTATATTATCTATTGTGGATACAGAAACCTCTCTTTCGGTCAAGTCCAATGGGAATTTGAAACTTATTCCACCCTTTGCCGTAAAGATAGCCGCTGGCGTTTCAAGTACACTTCCATCTTCAATAATCCGCTTGCTTTCACGAACAACGACTCGTCGAACCCGCCTCCTTCTGTAGGACACGGCAACAATGCTAAGAGAGACGATAAAAAACACAAGAATTGCTAGAGCACCGACTAGGAACCGTGTACTGAGAAACATCGAACCAATTGTTTTCTCCGTTTTCAAACAGGAAGGCAACTTTTGAGTATCTAGCGACACTAAATAATGACCCTTGAAGCTTTGAGGTTCGTTGCACTTGATCTGTTGAATGGCTTTGGTCCGGTTTAAATGTCGAATTACCGCGAACATGTTGCATAAGTCACAAGTCCAGGGATTATCGGCAAGATTTAGCTTTTGTAAACGAGCAAGTTTCACTGCGACGAATTCGTCGAGTCCGTGAAATTGATTATGCGATAAATCTAATTCAACAAGCTGCCGCGGCAGAATTGTGAAATTTAATTTTGTTAGATTGTTTCCGGACAAATTTAGGAATTTAATATTATCCGGGAATATGCCGGATTGTAGATTTGCAATTTGCATATCGGATATAGACACATCTCGAAGCTTCGGTAACGCGTGGATTATGTTACTTATCACAGCCGTTGAAAATCTGTTTCCGCTTAGGTCGAGCTTTGTCAGCGTGTCCGCGATTGCTTCAAGCGAGACCGTTTCGAGCTGCTTCAATTTGTTGTAGCTAATGTCCAGTTCAATTAAATTGCTCAGATTAAAGAAGGCAGTGTCGGTAATTTTTACTATCCTATTTCTGGCGAGGCCTAATGTCCTCAGTTCCACTTGACTGGAAAATACCTTCTCGATCACAATCGGTAGTAAATTGCCATTGAGCCGTAAAAACCGCAAGCGGTGCAGATCCTGGAACTCGTCCGTGTCCAAAAACTGAATCAGGTTGTAACTTATGTCTAGGTGTGTTAAATAAGGCAGCAGGTGGTAAATGTGGGTATTTATTTTGTTTATACCGCATCTCTGACATTCCAGCACTTGAAGATCCTGAAAAAAAGAGTTAGAAACATGAGCGTTTCCTTTACCGTACTAGTGAGTTAAGTAAATTCTTCAGTATATCATTATTTAGTAAGTTGCATGATTCTAAATCATACCTAGTAACTACAGAACGACAAACTAATGCTACAAATATTCCAAGCTTCGCAATTACAAAATATTCGGGCTACTCAGTTCGTATAATGGTGGTTAATTGGACAATAACAAAACAGGGGTAAAACTAAGAGACAGAGAAAGACAATATCCCTAACTACAAGATAAAATATAAACTAAAAATTTAAATTCCAAATTGTTTGAACTAAAATTAGCATATCCACATTGACCTCTAGGTTCATTGATTTTTTTATTATTATCCTATTAATTATAGACACCAGCTTGGCTTCCAGTTTAGGAAACTAATCTTTTAAGTCATACACTGCGATATCTTAATCATACCTACTACTGTTTGCATTTATAAGGGTATATAAATATAAAGGGAAATAGTAATAATTTGATAACGTTAAGAGATTTCGGGTTGTGACTGCCATCTTATTTCTTTAAATACAGAGATTCTTTAACCAATCGTATTATCTTTATTTACTGACTACCAACATTCACAAAAAAAGAACAAGAAAACTAATTAATGATTACTGTTATTTAATTACAAATGCAAAGTTAACAGAAGACTTAGCTTAGGTTACACAAAATGATCTATTGATCAATTGGATCAATCAACGCTCTTTGAAAACTGTAGTTTTGTGTAACTTACCATAAACCAAGTGTTTTATTGAACATTTGTTTTATCAAATAATTTCTATTTTATTAAAAAAAGTAAATGTACTTTTGTACCTACCTTCTTTTTTTATAATAGACCCACTACAGTGAGTAAAAACGTAATCTAACATAGAAATTAATTTAATACTTACGAGAATGTCCTTAAAGGTCTGTGGATCAAATTCCTTGATTGGGTTTCCACTAAGCCTTAGCACCTGTAGATTGACTAGTTTTAAAAAAGCACGCGACCATATTTCCTTAATTTTATTGTTCTCTAAATTCAATATCCTCAGTTCCAATAAATGCCGAAACACCGCACTTTCTAAACACTGGATCAGATTAAAACTCAAATTTAATTCGATGAGATTAACGAGGCCCCTAAAATTGTGATCTTGAATTTCACTGATATTATTGAAACTTAAGTTTAGCACTTTCAATGTCGGCACACCCCAGAACGTATGCATCCCTATATGTAAAATGTTAGCTTGCGTTATGTGAATTTCTTCTAGGAATTTGAACTTTTGAAACACATGACCCAGCGTGATATTATTGCGATTATTAGCAGGGGCGGTGATATTCACAATTTGCACTCCTTCGTCCATACTGTCTGTAGGAATAGGATTTATCATACCTCCTTTTTGACAAGACACTTTTCTTCGACCTTGTTCGTCGAGTTTGCAAAGACAATGGGACGGACAGAGAGCTTTAGCGACACAGACCAATGAAAATAGAAACCATGTTGTCAACTGGAATCCATCGAGGTGCATCCTGCAAAATTGAAATAGAGACGTCAACATCGTCAATTTAGTTTCAATGAACCTAAAATTAAATTCTAAAAGTATCGCTCTCGTTGAGGCATTTTGCTTGTCAACAAAACAAATTGTAGTGTAAGCATGAAAAAGTTTGAGTAAAACTATAGCGTTGGGAACAGGGTTACGATAGAAAAAGACAAGACGAACGAAGTACCACCTTATTGTCTGACATCCTGATCCACGATTGTAATGGTTACTAGAGATGGGATAAACAACAGTTGTACATACAAAATTAAAAAGTTTAATGGTAAAACAAAACTTTTGCTTAATTTAGAACATTTAGGAGGTTCAAGATAGGGAAGTTTGATGTGTTATGTGTGGTGGAAATGTACGAATGGAAAGAAGGAAAAGAGATGCAGTACAAGAAAGATATTCGAATGATATAGTAAAAGACAAAATGAAGGTAGAAAAGATACAGTTAAAATTTGCAGTATAATCTATGAAATATGATGAGAAGGTAAGAAAACTAAAAGATAATGTAATTTTAAAAGAATGCAGAACGATCATATGGAAAAGTAGAAATTGGAAAAGAAGGAAATGGAAAAAAAGAGGTACGAGGATGTAGAATATATACGAAGAATAAGAACGGGTAAAGAGCTAGGAAGAACCTTACTTGAGAGGTAGGGAAAGAAGAAAGAGGAACAAGGGAAAACGGAGCAGGTCGAAAAAGAGGGGATAGAACAGATAAACAAAATGAAATTAGGAAACCCTAGATAACAAATGAGATTGCAGGCTTAATATGAAAAAGGCGGAAATATACAAACAGGAGGCAACGAAGAAGGGCAAAAAAAATATAAGGCTATAAAGTGGGAAATAATTAGGAAGCGTAGGGCAGTTAAAGAACAGTGGATTGATTAGTGGTCTAAAGAAGTAGAAGAAAAGTTCGAAGTAGGTAAGCTTATAATATAATTAAAAGGAATTTTAGACATGTAGGGTACAGTAGTAATAATATAAGAAACGAGGCAGGGGTCATTTTGATAGGAAATGAGGAAAGGCAGATAGGTGGAAAGAATATTTAGAGAACCTATAGGCAAGCCATCAGTAAACGGTTAATTTGGAAATTCGAAAAATGTTGTTAAAGGTGTATGTTTCGAGCGCGGCACTGTACTGGTACGAAACATGGACAGTGGGCGCGCCGGAAAAAAAGGTTAGAAGCGTTCGAAATGTGGTGTGACAGACGAATGATGATGATACCGTGGATAGAGAAGGTTAGAAATGAAGAGGTATTAGAAAGAATGGGAGAACAGAGGACTCTATGGAAGTCAATAAAAAATAGGCGAATTAGGTTGGTAGGACACCTTCTCAGGCATGAAGGCCTAGTCAAAGACATATTAGAGGCAGAAACAGGAGTTAGGAGGGGTAGAGGTAGAGCTAGCTTAGATTACTGTTCGCAAATAGTTAAGGATGCGGGCTGTTCTAGTTTTATGGAAATGCGAAGATTTGATCAGGATAGGAAAGAGTGGAGATGCGTGTCCAACCAGTCTTAGGACTGACGACCTTATGATGATCATGAGAAGGGATAAGAAATTCAAGGTACCCAAAAAAAGTATACGACGGAGCTAAGAAAAAGTTCCGTTAACTATATCTATAAAAGAAGGGAAAATAAAAGGGATGAAAATGGTAGCAAGATAATTTAGAACAGTTAATGTTTGGAAGGAAAGCATGTGTTGGATGAAAATTGTCAGAAGTTGTGCGAAGAAGTGAAGAATATGTGACAGTCTGTAATATACCAAAATCAAGAGGAAGAATAAGGAAAAGTAATGGCAGAATTCCGTAAACAAACCGGTATTTTAGACAAAAAAATTATTTTATTAAGTTGTTTTTAAATTTTCAAAGAATACTGTAGAAATCATTTACATTCGCCCACTCTTTTGTAATTTAACGGTAGGTAATCATTAAAGACTTATTTAAGAAATAAACATATTTGGAAGAATCCAAATTTTCGTTATCTTGACGAAAGTTTCAGACTGTGATTGCTATCTTCTAAAATTACAGAGTTCTTTCTTTTATGTAGATTCTTTTGTAAAAGTCTCATTATCTTGTTTTATTAGCTACCAACTTTTACGAAAGACAATTAAGGCAATTAATTAAAGGCGACTGCTAATTTTTTATAACTTCAAATATAATGGAACCGAGCATCCAAACCAGAATATCAGCCAAACCGACTGAAAATGCTTCCATTATTTACAATTTCTTTACAAAGAAATTGTAATCGTTGTTTCCGACGTAAATACCTACTAATTTTTATGGAATGATCATAGAGATGACCGCTGTTGGATACTTTTACTATGTCTTATAATCGTAATGGAACTGAATAACCGTTCGCAGGGTCATTACACAATTTTGCTGCCTGCACAAAATTACGACAGAATATGTATTAATTATGAAATATGGAATGCACAGACTACAGCCGATTACATTCTCTACAAAGATATGCATATACCTTTATCTACATAGTATAATATGGTAGTTCCAGGTTTAGTAGGGGCTTATACTTGCACAAGGCTATTAACTTTTCGTGTGGTGATGGGTCGTTTTATTACAGTAAATGAATCTAAAGAACCGTCTGTTGAAGTAATCCACCTAAATTATTTAAATTCTTACTTTTTGATATCATTTTGCAAAAGACAAAAACGTCTGAAATTGCAACGTTATCCGATTACTGGAAAATCGATTAATTAAGTAATGAACTAGAACAGCGTTTCTAACTTTTCAATTTTGTTACCCTTACAACCTACTAGGAAAATTGATTTTTTTCTATCTCCCTTTATAATGTTATCAAAGATAGAATTACATGCAAATAAGCATGGACTTAATCATTTTCCCTCATTTTTTCGATTATTTCAGTCATTTTATTTCCAGCTGCAGAAAAGGTGTTTTATCTTTGCAGTAGTAGTTACTCCCGATAACTAGAAGCTGCTGACCCCAGTAGGTATTACTAAATATACTTTACATCAGCACAAGGCACACCTCCTCACTTCGTTGGTCATACCGGGATAGGGGTTAAGGAATTGGTTTAATGGTATTATTTGTACACTATGCTTCGCACGGGTTCAATGCTGATAGTAAGTATGCTACAGAATGTCTTTATATACAACAATCACAGCTTTTTTGTCATTAGACAATACGTACCGGCCGGTACCGCCGCAACCGCTATGTCCCTGCATTTTAAGTCTGTAATATCATCGAAAATATTCATTTAAATTACTTGCTGTAAAGGGCCATATTGATCTATATTAAATGCACAATGTATTTAAAAGTACTTATAATTGGATAAGGATTAATGCTATATTGCTTAAAATCGCTTCGTAAATAAGCCATTATTTCTCGTAAAAACTAAAAGATAAAAAGTAGTTATTGTAGGTTATCCCTAAGAGAAAGACATATACCATCCCGGACTTTTTTGTATACCTTTTTAAGGTGTACAATACTGTAGTATATTATTTTGATTTATCTCGTAGGGTTCAGCTAGCGTTTGCAATGTAAGCGCAACAAAATGTATTTATTTACATCACATTACAAACCTCTAAAATTATCAGTGCTTCTCTACTATATTATGTATGTATTATACATATAGACCTTGCTCTTGAATTACTCTATCTATTAAAAAAACCGCATTAAAATCCGTTGCGTAGTTTTAAAGATCTAAGCATACATAGTTACAGACAGCGGGGGAAATGCGTTGCATGATTTCGTTACATAGTATCTCGCATTAAACGAACTTACCCTACCGTGCATAAAGAAGTTTCACTTCAAAAATTAATATGTAAGCATGAATTAAAAGGAAAAAATGGTGTGTCATCGGGTGTGAATGAAACCCAGGCCTATCTGTAGGATAGCCGAGCATTCATACCACTAATCCATGGATTTTTGTTGTTAATTGCGCCACAAGGCAAAATGGTCGTATTTCAATGTTGCGCCGACATGCAGTACACTTAGTAAGTGGTGTTGGTGAAAAGAATTACAGGCGTGACTTGCGCAGGTGTTAAGTATATTTAGAAATATCGCTTCATAATCCGTATGTGGCCTTTCTACAGATGTATTTTTTAATGATTACAAACTATTACTATATGTAAATATAAATACACATGGTACCTATAAATAGGCGCATTCTAATTTAAATTCGTATTGTATTGTCAAGAAATTTAATATGTATTTCTTATCTATTTGAGATCTGTCTTATCCATTTAAAAGAATACAAGAAAATTCCCCACCGACTAATCGCAAAATATAAATTTTCAAATCCGTTTCCCTTATCCTTACTCGCAGATAATGTGCTTTGATTTGCAAGGTAATAACGGTGAAATATTCTTGAAAGTGTCGATGGCACACCTTGCAAGATTTGGATTTGCAAAAGATAAATGTCACATTAAATTTTTTAGTCGGCTATAAATCGTATATTAGCGTTGTCAGGAAATCGAACACCAAATGATGTATAATACTCCTACTGTCGATAAGCGGTTCCATCCATTTTTCTTGGCGTCTTTTAAAAGCAGTTAGTCTTCTCGTTAAGGATTTACTCTTTTTATTTCAAAGTATCACGTGAAGTGGTTAAAATGAGACTTGTTACTTAAGGTGTAAATATTTCATTTTGCATATGGACATAATTAAATTTGTATAAGGGTATACAAATTTAATTTATAATTATATGTATAGTCTATAGGTCTATACATAGCACAAGTTATTTCGTTAGTCGCTTGAAATATTTTAGTAACAGAAAATACCCAATAGAAGGCGTGGCACTGCCTGCGTTTGGATATTAAAACTACGAAGTTTTTATAAGAACAAATATAAAAAGCACAACAAAATCTTGTCTATGCAAAATTTTCATGCGATTTGGTGAAACCCCATTTGAAAAA